ATAGTATTTTATTATCTGTGGTAATAGCTAAGAAGAAAAAGAAGAAAATGCACAAATTTCTCTTAATAAAAGAAATAAAATCATTCTTAAACAAATAAACATGCATTCTATAAAAAGCCGCGTTATCTCTTGTATACATAATGATGTTATAATATTTCTGAGTACACAAACAAATATTCTCTTTCTGATAAATTTAAGAAGAGATTTATAGGTTAAATTCTTTTCTTTAACGATAAAATTATATAATACATTAATACAATTCCCGCGCTCTAAAGGTTTGGGAACTGGATGGGTTTATCTGTTTCTTGCCTGTATTTGAACTATGTAATATTCTTTCTCTTTGAAGTATTAATTAGCAATAAAAGGTATTTTATTTTAATTAGATATCTGTGCAAGTATAAACATTGCTTGTGTGTACAGATTGCACGGCAAACACTGGTGTGGAGGAGCAATTGTAGGGAAGCAGTGGGTTCTCACGGCAGCGCAGTGTTTTGATTAGTAAGTAATTATTATTTTATATTGATCGTAATATGCGCGATATCGCTGCAAGGATATAATCTAAGACCTATTTAACTCTAAACTACCGCTGTATTTAAAAAGAAATGCAAAAAATTTGAGTTAAATAGTAAAAAGATTTTATAATCTGTATAATAACAAAGCTACTTATTCCTCTAACATTAAAAATATCTTTATATTTAGCGTATCAAAAGAAGAAGTGACGGTCCGCATGGGCTCCGTGTTCCGTGACTTCGGAGGCCGTATTCTCGCTGTAACAAACGTCGAGAGACATCCAGATTACAAGATGGATCAATACTATCCTGAACATAATCTTGCCATGGTCAAGGTAAGAACTGAGAAAAATGTCTAAAGGTGCAGCAAATACACAAAACAAAATTCTAAATTTAAATTTTCGTGAGACATTTTAAACGGGTAGCAATCACGTCCATTTTACTCCCTATCTGGTACCTCCACAGAAAAATAGACGTGAGTGCTGGCTGTTTAATAATTAGTAACAAAATGCATAACTAATTACTTAAAAGTGACTAGGAAATCTTACTTCCCTTCCGTCATATCTAGCTATGGTATGCTAGGTAGGAGAGCAACTATTTAATTGCAAAGCGTCTTTAGGGGCGGCCGTAGTGTTCCATTTGGAGATTCCGCGGCTCATTATCACAGTTGGAGGCGACCGTGGGGTTTTAGTCGGCGCAAGTCGGACATAACCACCCTTGTCCCAGCAAGGGTTGTATGCGTAAGGCATTTCCACACGAAAAAAATGAAACCTTACTAACTTAATATTATAAATGCGAAAATTTAGTTAAAGTTTTAGCAACCTTTTTGCTGCACGGACCTCGATGAAATTTGGCAAAGATGTAGAGATCAGTCTGGAAGAACACATAAGCTACTTGCTTTTGTTATTTTTTAAATTTCCTTGTAGACTGAGTCGCAAGCAAAGGCAAAGTTAAATAAAAATAAACATTTTAGGTCAATGTCTACTTTTAGTAATTTATTTTTAAATTAATGTTTATATTTTATGATTCATCTTATTGTGGCGG